CACACGATTTTTGTACAAATTTCAATAAGTGAATATTGACAATCATTATCCTACTAAACTGCATTAAAAACATAAACTAAATACACCAATCTTGTTACTGTAACACGTGGTACAACACGTGACATCTGACACATGGTCTCACACATGATGTAACTCGCAATGTATAATAGCTATTCATAACAAAATAACACGTGTCGATATAAGATTTTCTCTTCCGAATAAAAATCCAATTTACGACAAAAGAAATATCGATTACCAAATAATTAAAATCGTGCGAATGAGTACTTGGAAAACTTCGATTCATGATAAGGATGTAAAGAACGAGATGACCTGCATGGTTGACGTGGATCGTTTCACAAAGAACTAGAAGTCGATTTCCCCCGTTTTACGACGAATAAAACTGTGCTCAATGCTTATCGATGAAGATGTACACAGTCCATGGCGCATACAGCAGCGAGTACCACATGTATATGGAACAATTCGCGAGCACAGGTTCTTTTATAGTTTGCTACTATTCTCATCGCGGATACTAGTGCACAGAGAGGATTCACTCTGGTGGAGAGTCAATTTCCTCGAATGAAACCGGTGCAAAAGGGGACGAAGTTTCAAGCCAAGTATTTTCTACCTTCTCCTTTCCTTCGATTACCCCTTCGAGTCGTGACAGAGGTAGGAATCAAAGTCATCCGTGAAAATTGTGAGATTTCCATGAGAAATCTTCTGCTAAATTACTGAGTCGCTGCGTACTTACTAGTCCTTATTTCGCCAACTCCCTTCTTACTTCTTTGTGATACTTTGAAGCATTTCAGTTCTTTGGAAAAAATGGCTATTGTTTCTTGACTGTATGAGTATGCTTAGAATATGTATGCTTTCATGTGTGATGTGGTTTTAGGTAAGTGTGTGGGTAGGAATTTTCAAATTTTGAGATTCTAATTTTCCAAATTCCTAAATCTCCAAATTCCACATTCCCCAAATCCCACGTTCCCTAAATCTCACATTCCCCAAATCCCACATTCCCCAAATCCCACATTCCCCAAATCCCACATTCCCCAAATCCCATATTCCCCAAATCCCACGTTCTCCAAATCCCACATTCCCCAAATCTCACCTTCCCCAAATCCCACGTTCTCCAAATCCCACATTCTTCAAATCCCACGTTCCCCAAATCCCACGTTCCCTAAATCCCACGTTCCCTAAATCCCACATTCCCCGAATCCCACATTCCCCTAATCCCACCTTCCCCAAATCCCACATTCTCCAAATCCCAATTTTCCCCATTCCCAAATTCCCCAACGTTCTCCAAATGCCACATTCTCCAAATCACACGTTCCCCAAATCCCACGTTCCCTAAATCCCACATTCCCCGAATCCCACATTCCCCTAATCCCACCTTCCCCAAATCCCACATTCTCCAAATCCCAATTTTCCCCATTCCCAAATTCCCCAACTCCCAAACTCCCAAATTCGTAAATTTCCAAATACCCAACCATCAAAATCCTCGAATCCTCAAATTTCACGTACTCAGTCCAACCAACCGAATCAGTGGACTACCAGCAATACTGCGATATAACCCGATTTCAGCCTGATTAGCAGCTAGCACCGTTCACCCTTCGATACACCGAAAGTGAAACGCTATTCCGCCTCCATTAATGAACGGGAAATTGAACTTCAAAAGCGTGACACTAACGTCTTCCATTGTCCGTGCGTAGATACGCGGATACGTGGATCCGACTACGGATACCCATCGATTTGGACGATAAAACGCGAGCGACAACGCTCGACATTCAATCCCGTTCCAACAACGAATTGGTTTTTGCCCGTTAACCGAGCTCGCCCGGCTCTCTGCTCGGCCATCTCCCTCTATCGCATTAGTCAACCATCCGACGAAACTCGAGGACAGATCGATCTTCGCTTCTCGACGTCGAGTCGACTTTAACGCTTGTAAAATCCCGTTTCTCGTCGACTTACGCTTCTTTAACGCGATCCCGATGGATACCGCACACGTATGCACCTATGCACACCGTGTCCACGTATGGTTGCACGTGCATCTGATCGTGAGAGCGCGAACTCCTCTCGGTCACATTTATTAGTGTAGACTGCTGTCGATAAAACTCTCCGAGAGACGGCAAATGGACACATTCAGGTTTCTGGAGAAGTATCTGAGAGTTTGGAAGTCTTGCTTATGACTGGAGTTTATGGAGGAACATCTTTCTTGTCCAAAATGTATGATAGCTAAGGGTTTTGATGTTTGGAATGAAGATGTATATGTTTGTAATAGCTGAGAGTTCATATGTGTACTCACATATGTTCATATGTGTATGTTCATATGTGAGTTTTGTTCGACATGTGGATACTTGTGCATGTAGATAATAGTCTACATAAAAAGTCATCTATGTTGATGGACAGATTTATAAAACATCTATGATGTATGAGATTTATGATCAATAAAATGATTTATGTTCAAGTACACACACTCTTCAAAGCACATGCATAAACATATGACATCAATGATTACAATAAATACCTATTATTTTTAATGAGCATCATTCATTCATTCTCAAGTTGACAAGTTAGACTTGTCAATAGAATAAGTTAGACTTTGTCAGAAAAGTGTACATACATGAGATAATGTTTGAAGATCCCTTCAAAGAATCCTATCACACTCTCACCGGTAAAATGAATGTATAATGTCCTCTCGAGAGCAACTATTTAAAATAAAAGTGAGAAACTAAATGGCCAAGAATGCACTTGACCCACGATTCGAAAGGCGGCTGAGTAAATCGATTTCGACGCTTCGACTCGTCCCACCCGGTACATTTATAATGCCCGACCTCTGAGAGTCGCCCGCGGCAACGCACGTACATCCTGAAGCCGGGCAGGGGCGTGAACGCGTCGGACCTTTTTCGTCGGGCTTTCAATTCCGCCCTTTTTTCCCTCCGCTTACCACGGCGTGAAAGGGAAAAGGAAACCGATCGAACCGTCCACACGTGACTCGTCCCGCGTGTATCCGCGGTTCGAACCGAAGAAATATCGCGGCGATATGTCACGACTACGATCAACGGCTACCACGATCTAGAAATGACCCGAGAGGAATAAAAAGGAGGAAGAAGGTCAGGAAATCGTAGCGTGAAACTTTCGTTTTACCTAGATAAAGTGGCGAGAGAATGATCTCGAGGACCTATTGCATTCTTCGAGGGAACGTGATGGAAGTTAGAATGCAGGGTGAGACATGAGGGTATTTTTGAGTGGGTGCTTTTGTCGGTCGAGACACACTTTCGAATTGAAGTGCTGTTTTGAAATTTTATTTTTTTGGGTATCAAGGTTTCAGTTGTTCCAAGTTCTAAAGTCGTAACTTTTGTTGTAAAGTTGAGAATTTTTTATGGTTTGAATTTGTGAAATTTCTGGGTACCAAAGTATCAAAGTCATGAACCTTCAGATTTTCATAATTTTAACCCATAATTTCAACGATCTAAGAATCAACACTTCAAAGTCTTAATACTCCATAGTCCTAATACACCAAAGTTCCAATATATCAAATTTTAAACACTCTCAAGTTCCACTACTCCAAAGTTCAAATATCACAAAGTCCTCATGTCTCAAACTCCTAACATTCCAAAGTCTAAATGTTCCTAAGTTTCCATATCCCAAAATCTCAACATCCAACACCCCAAACTACCCGCACTCCAACACCCAAACTCCCAATCTTCAAAATTAAACCCCAACACCTATAACTCTAAAAATTCTAAAACCCTGCAGCCTCAAGAATCCCAAAATTCCAACAGTACCGAAAATCCAAAAGTCCCAAAATTACAACCCCATCAAAAATCCTCCCACAACTCACCAACGTATCAACATATCTCGCATATCAAAAGCATATAAAAATATACAGTAAGGAACACGGTAAGATAGCAAAAAGTAAAGATGGAAAATACGATTTTACCCGTAAAATGTTATGATAGTCGGATAAATAGCGATAAAGATCGTGCTGGATCTCTATAATCGAAATGATGCTACACCACGAAGCTCGCAGGCCACCATTCGTGGAATGCTTCAGGGTGAAAATGCGGTCGTCTCCTATCCGGAACAAGGACATTCACGGTAATATCTTGGGTGAGATTAAACGGAGCTTGCATTCTTCGCATGGGGCGCGCGATAATGTTTTCAGTTGAACGCCATGTTTCCAGTGACTACGGTTGTCACTGAATTTCGCGAAACACGATTGCGCGCAATCTAACAAAAATATGGCACTGGGTTTCGAAATTCGATGCAATATAAATTTACAGCAGATTTTACGAATTGTATAATGCGAGATTTTAAGTTTTCATGGAGAGTTTAACGTAGTTATGGATTTTAATATCAAGTTATTGTTGCATTACTGTATATTGATTTTTAATTTTAAGGTTAACCTAACATATGAAGTTGTCAATTTTAGTATCAAGTTGCTGTTATAGTATTAAAGTATCGAGAAATGTAGATTGGTTTTGAAAGAATTCAAGAAATGAATTTTTAATGGAGACTTAACCTAACCTATACGAAGACCTGAATTTTAATAACGAACCAGTGCTATAATATTGAAGTATAATAAAATACAGATGGGTGACTGTTTCAATTAATTAACCTAACCATATATTAAACATATACATCTTATGTATATATATAACTATTAATAGTTCGACTTTGTGTCATATTTGAACTTTCAGCAACTCAGCCATTGCTAAAATAAAATCACGTACAATACTATTCTTCCCGTTTAAAAATGATACTTTTAATATGATACTCTTTTTGTTCGGACATGATAGTACGCGATACTATTAAATGAAAGTATATTACATATTTAATAATGGTCACTCCTTCCTTTCAGCGAGCCGCATCGACAAATGGATGCAAACTTGCACCACAGCGAACTTCCACCATAAATCAACGTAGAGTGGCACGCGGTAAAGGATAATTACATCGCAAAGATACAGCAAACGAGATAAGGGGAAGATTCAGTTGTGACTTACATTGGATTGGTGGAGTTCCAGTAGATGTCCGGCAGGCGGGAACAGGTGGCCTCCCGAGGGAAGGCCTCCATCACGGCTAACAGCAGAAGAAATAGGATGAACCAGGGCATGATGTCCAGCTGAATCTTGAGGCCGTTTGCGTACCACTTCCAAGGAGAAAACTGTGTCGTATCGGTCACCTGTGTCATCAGAAACGTAATTAATCGTTACAGTAAATTGCCGGGGGGTTAGAGTATAATTGATTACACTGTAAATGATTACGGTCAGCACGAAAAGAGAAAACACACTCAAAAATAAGATATAAAATGGATAAACAAGAAGGCAACAAAATTCGATATTTTGATAAAAGTATAATTTAAATAGAATTATAATAAATAGCTAAATATAATTTAGCTGCATAAAATAATTAGAGCTGGTTGGTATTTCTAGTTAACACTAAACCTACCTATATTACACTAAACCGTATAATATGTACTTCTGAGTTGAAAAATGGAGTCAAAAAATAAATGAACGAACAACAAAACATAAATTAGTATACGCATTTATTCTTTATCTTGATGAAGATCAATGCAGGTATTAGAAGAATCAATTCAATAAATTGTGTCATTTATAATAAGGATTTTATGGAACGGTCATTTGACCGGTTTGGTAGTTTTAGTGTTAAGGAAACATTTTAACCAGATTGAAATACTTCAAATAGAATGTCCATAACGAGCTGTCGAGAAAGGGGTAATTAATGTCGCTGTACAACGAGATTAGCACGCTTAAATAAAGCCGTAAACTGCACGCGTAATTAAAATCCAAGAATTCAGGCTAATTAACGATACAAGGAAGACTCCTATTCCTTAAGTATTCGCGAGGGCGTAGAAGGTTTTACCATAGACAATAAAAGGAAAGTAAAAGCCCGCGCCGACTCTCCGTGCGATCGTAACAAAGAAACCTGAACTTAATTTGTACCGCGATACGGTCTAGCTCGTTCGCGGAATACCAACAACGTATTTTGCAGCTTAAGCGCGAACAAAAAGTTCGTCATCCCGGCTCCGATATAACTTTCGCTAGGAAACGTTTCCTCTGGAAAAGCATCGCGATGCCGTGAGATTTGTTAAAGGAACAACCGTCTCTCGGGTGGGCAAACTGGTTCGAACGCCGCTTCGCTAATGGCTACCTTTTATGCGCGAAGAATGTAAAAACGAAATACAGTAACAGGAAACGAGCGAATTGAGAAGCGAAATAAAAGTTCGAGCACGAGGGGACGAAACGATGAAGAAATAAAATCAATTACTCGACCGTGGCAAAAACCTCGTGGAGGAACACCGAGTTGTATTCATTTTGATGACGTTGCACTTGCCGATGTTTTGTATAAGCAAAGGATCACATTGTACGGGATCGGAACAAGTCGATCTAACGGACAAGAACCCAGAGAAAAAACGATGAATGGAAAGGGACAAAAGGTGTTAAGTGTTGGCAAGGAGATGTTGCAGTCACGCGTCTGACCACAAACTTGGCTGACTCCTGATCTTACTCCAATTAACGAGGCTCATGGTGAAAATTGACATTTGTAGAATACTTTATAATTTAAGGTACTTTATTACTTTTGCTGTACGTTGCAAATGTGATACGTGAAATATACACGTCTTTTACTTTATCTATGCAAAAGGTTCTAGGGTCAATTATTCTATTTGTGATGTAGGTTATAAGTGACTTTTATGGATTGATAAAATAAGGACCCTCAAATAATTCTATCATTCTATTCATTTATTTCTTTTATCACTCTCCTATCATTCTATTCATTTATTTATTTAAGCCACTTGTCTATAATGCTTTGTTTTTCACAACCCAATATTTCAGTACTTTAAAGTCCTCACATTCCAAAGACCCATTTCGACAACCACATACTCTGTAGTTCTAGTACTCTAAAGTCACAGTAGATCAGAGTTTTGATACACTAAAATCCCAATAGCTAGTCTCAATACTCTAGAGTACCAATATCCCAAACTCCCAGCACGTCAAAATTTTGACCTTCTAAAATTGTAACACCACAAAGTCACAATATTGTATACTACTTCAATACTATATCCTGTTAGAAGCCTAAAGATCAATTTCTCTAATGTTCAATACTCCAAAAGATATCTTAATGATTTTGTATCTAAATGTCCCTCTTTCCAAATGATCCTGAATCCAAATGTCCCATATCCAAATGACCCTGAATCCAAATGTCACTCTATCCAGGTGACCCTGTACCTAAATATCCCTCTACTCAAAAATCTCTATATCCACATATCCCTGTATTAAAATATCCCAGTATCCAAATGTCCATCTACCCAAAAGTCCCTGTACCTCAAAGTTCCAAACTCGCAACGTTGAAAGAACAAAAATTTCCAAAATTCCACTAATATTTTTAAATGAAATAACGTCTAACGTAAACTTTCCAGCGATCCATAACCTTTTACGGAATACAAGTTATTTGTCATAAACGTTTTGCCATAATAGAGATAGCAGTCACATAAATTTCTGAATTTAATTTGTGGATCCGCGTCTACCGTCAGCTCCGATCTTCTCAGCGAGATACCAGATCAATGTTCGTTCTTCATTGCAGAAGACCCCCTATCGGGTGAATCTTGTTTCGAACAGAGTCACCTGCTTTCAGGGCCGTAGTCTCGGCTGATCTCGAAGGAAAGGCGGAACTTTATTGCGTTCTTGCACGAAAGACACGTTTACGACGTGAGTCGGAAGAGAACGAGAGTGAAACGCGTAACCTGACCGAGCCTAGAAGAGCGAGAAGAAGAGAAACTGGAATAAAGCATGAAACAGTGTAGATTCAGTAAAGAAGACCATTAAAGATCTACCGAGCTGTCGGATAGCTCGCTGTCCTGTCAACGGCACAGGATTAACCTTAGCTGAAAGATTTTTCTCACATTTTCTATTTCTCTCTTTAACGTGTTCCAATGTATTTTTTCGTCCTTGATCATTTTTGCTCTACGGATTTCCCGCGTCAAAATCTGATTTTCTACGAGCGTTGATACCGTGATTTTCTTCGTTTTGCAAATAAATTCGGATTCATGTTTGATCCATTTATTTCGTGTCGGGTCGTGGAAATGAAAAATTATAATTATCCCTTTGATACGGAGACTGTTTGCAATTAACTTGCAATTATCTCGGAAATTACATCTGCTACTGCTCGAACCTTTCTTTCTGTAATTATTTTGAAAACCTCGCTGAACATTGCTGTTTAGCGTAAACATTTTTTAATTAATCCGTTAATAAAATTTCAGATAGCATTAAAGTAAATTGTCTCCTTTAATAACTTTGATACCACATATTCTGGCAAGCTTATTATATTTGAGTAATTTGACTAAAATTGTGACGAATGAATGAAATTATTAACAATAATTTAACTGGAATTCTACCGTGTGCTTGACGTTAATTTAAATTTCTAATTAATTATAAACTGACTAAAATTGTAACGAATTGACACTAAAAATGATCAAACCATGTAAAATCATTAAACATTCGAACTCTAACAACATTTTAAATGCACCATCGTAAAACCTTATACATTTCCATTTCCATCAATTGACTACAGTTTTATTTCCGTGCAAATACTGTTCAATAACATTCACCCGATGGATTAACGATTCCCGACATACACAACGAAATAAATAAAAAATAAAGAGAAGTACAATTACACAACATGGGATCCACGCGTGTACATTACGTCTGAATTTCCGTCACGAAATTATTAATTAAAACTGACAAAAACAATGTTGTTATAAAGCTGGTCAACTTGCAAAACACACGTGTGTGCGTTGTACACGTATGTGCATACACATGGCCGTAATGGATGAGCACGGTTGTTTTGTTTTCAATGAATGCCGGCGAGGTATCGTTCACATACGCACGTTTACATACGCTCGTACACACATGCGTGTACACACGTGTGCATGAACGCATGGTGAATCGACTCACACGTATGTACGCTGAATGCAACGTAGGCTTCCATTGGATAAGAACACACGTAAGAAGAGCCTTTCAGGGAGGTTGTAAATTGGATCATTTTTAATTAATTTGTTCATTTGGGTATTTTGAAGTTGGAGAGGTTTTTCCATTTTCAAATTTTGAATCTGTACTTTGCTAAATACATTTATTGAATTACTGAAGTTTGAAATTCTTAAATTTTCGTATCTTGAAATTTATTAAAATCTCAAATCTTCTAAATCGTCAAATGTCAGAAAATCCAAAATCTACACAATGTCCAAAGATGTCCCGATTCCAATATTTTCAACTAAATCCCTAGAGTTCCAAACTTGACAACTTCCCAAATATTCAACTATAATTTCTCTCCAGAGACCCTAAATTTCCAAATGTCCACATTCCCAAAATCTCAAATAAGTTTAAAAAATTCCAAACTTGTAAATACCAAAATTTTTGCACTTGCAATCCAAGGGTCCTCTGCAAATGAATCCCCAGAATTGCAAACTTGCAAATTCCCAAATGACACTTGCGATCCAAAGTACGAAGTTCCCAAATTTTCAAATAAATCCTCGAAATTCCAAACTGACAAATTTTTAAACTAACACAATTGTAATCCAAAACTTCGAAAACTTGAGAAACCATCACGTGTTTACTGGTGTAGATGGACACATGGAAGCCTAGCCTGCACTCAGGTGTCCGCGTGCGTCTGACAGTTGGTAGTAAACATGGCAGTATACTCACTTTTCGCAAGCAACCGAGTGGGCAGCTTCCACACTAGTCACGCGAAACACCACCGTTTATTGTTCTTCGCGTAGTATACAAGCGTCGAACCGTACGCGTGGCACAATTACAGAGCTACTGGCTCCACGGACTATCGCGTAATCCCGACTAAATCTGACAAAGGATCTACGAGGAGCAGGCTATGCACGGGCCGAAAATCGAGCTCGAGGAAGCGTTATTCGCGGCGATAATTGAAACTGGTATTAAACCGCCGCGACGTAATGAACGTAATCACGATCGTCGTTAACGGAGAACGGAATAAGCGAGTTACTTAACGTAACCGGACAACTGGGCCGATCGGGGAAAAAACTCGGCAGGACGCGAGAGATTAAACGATTCGACGAATTAATTAGGAAGT